TGGATGGATGGATGGATGAATGGATGGATGGTTGGATGGATAGATAGGTAGATAGATAGATAGACAGATAACTGGATGGATAGATGGATAGATAGATAGAATAGATTGTGTGTGCCTTGCTTCTACATAGAGACACGGTATGTTTTACTTGTCTCTACATAGAGACACGGTGCATGCTACTTGTCTCTACATAGAGACACGGTGCGTGCTACTTGTCTCTACATAGAGACACCGGTGCGTGCTACTTGTCTCTACATAGAGACACGGTGCGTGCTACTTGTCTCTACATAGAGACACGGTGCGTGCTACTTGTCTCTACATAGAGACACGGTGCGTGCTACTTGTCTCTACATAGAGACACGGTGCGTGCTACTTGCCTCTGCGTAGACATTCAGGGAGCGCTCGAGGATGCTGCGTAGTGATTCCTTCATGACACGCTCCACCTCCAGCAGCCAGTCCTCGACGTTGCCCGTAGGATAGAGGCTCTCAGAGAAGGGCACCTCCTCTCCTTCGCCGGAGTACATCACACTAATCCTCAGGTCATCCTCGAACCTTAGCTGCAAGTAGATGAGCGACCGTTCATTTAGACATGCCCTGGTGGCTGCGTTTTCATTTGGCTTCCTTCATCTGTGGTTTTCGTGGTGTACCCATCTCGGCAGCCCTGAGAAATTGGCAAGAATTGCAGAGAAGAATATCATACTGGTGTACTCAACAATTTAGTTATTGCTAACAATATCAATACTAATAATAATATCAATAACTAAATTAATTAATATCCTAATATATAATTTATATATATATATATATATAATTTATATATAAAATGAATATTTTAGATTAATGGTAGTTGGTTTCATTAGTTAAAAAAACTAGGGAGGTTAGCTAGACATAAGATATTAGAGTAATTGCCTTGGCAATATTTTCGAAACACTTTCGCAGGTGAGGTTGCACAGCCTTAGGATCTTTTGTCTGTGACAATATCTCAAGGAGCTCGTCGTCGGAGAGGAAGTAGAATCGTGGGAAAGCTGTCCTCTTCGTCTCCAGGTATTCGCTGAGTCCCTTTTGCACCTGATCCAGCAGCTTGTTGGATTCACGTAGACTGTCGAGCAGGTAGTCGTTCGGACAGAGAGTTATCACCTGTAGGCAGCAAGAGATATACTCGGACATCTACTCAACGATGCTACTCAAGACACCCAAGTGAGCCAAACACACACCAATGGGAACACCCGAGCAAACCATACACACAGCACTGGGAACACCCAAGCAAGCCACACATGTGGCACTGGGAACACCCAAGCAAGCCACACATGTGGCACTGGGAACACCCAAGCAAGCCACACATGTGGCACTGGGAACACCCAAGCAAGCCAAACATGCGGCTCTGGAAACACCGAAGCAAACCACACATACAGCACTGGGAACACCCAAGCAAACCACACATGCGGCACTGGAAACACCCAAGCAAACCACACATACAGCACTGGGAACACCCAAGCAAACCACACATGCGGCACTGGGAACACCCGAGCAAGCCAAACATACGGCCCTGGAAACACCCATTAAAGCAAGCCATACATACAGCACTGGGAACACCCAAGCAAACCAAACACACAGCACTGGGAACACACAAGCAAACCAAATACACAGCACTGGGAACACACAAGCAAACCAAACACACAGCAATTAAAACACCCAAGCAAACCACACACACACAGCAATTAAAACACCCAAGCAAACCAAACACGCAGCACTGGGAACACACAAGCAAACCAAATACACAGCACTGGAAACACCCAAGCAAACCAAACACACAGCACTGGCAACACCCAAGCAAACCATACATACAGCACTGGGAACACTCAAGCAAGCCATACATACAGCACTGGGAACACCCAAGCAAGTAAAACACACAGCACTGGGAACACCCAAGCAAACCAAACACACAGCACTGGCAACACCCAAGCAAGCCACACATGCGGCACTGGGAACACCCAAGCAAGCCACACATGTGGCACTGGGAACACCCAAGCAAGCCGTACATACGGCACTGGTAACACCCAAGCAAGTCAAACACACAGCACTGGGAACACCCAAGCAAGCCGTACATACGGCACTGGGAACACACAAGCAAACCAAACACACAGCAATTAAAACACCCAAGCAAACCAAACACACAGCACTGGGAACAGCCAAGCAAGTCAAACACACAGCACTGGGAACACCCAAGCAAACCGTACATACAGCACTGGCAACACCCAAGCAAACCAAACACACAGCACTGGCAACACCCAAGCAAACCAAACACACAGCATTACGAACACCCGACTGAGCCATACACACATGGCACTGGAAATAATCGGACACTCCATTCACCAGTATTGGGAAGAATTGAACAACCCGTATAAACAGCATCAAACAGTTATTGGGAGCAGCTGTCAAAACCCGGCAGCTATACAGGAAAAAACGAACAAACTATAGGTATGTGTTTTTAAATTTCATTTTTGCTATGAGGCATTGTAATGAATATCACAATGTCCTTTACCTGTGTTACTAATCAGACTCTTAGAAATACTAAGTGGTTCAGGTTTCTATAGCAAAGGGGCTTCTATAAATGCAATACCTTTGCAAAGTGAAATACTATATATTACTTGGGGCTGAAGGTTTCACTGTACACTATTGTCCGTACACATATATTGCTTCTATTAATGGAAGAGTGAAAGCTGAGTTTAGGATTCCCTTGTGCTACGGGGGCGTGTTGTTTAATAATTAAATTGATGGGAAATGAGTACGTACTCCTACGTAATATCTCAGACAGACGGTCAGTAGTTCTATTACACAGTTACTTTGCAGATGTTGTTTAATAATGGCAGGAATTTTAATACTCTATGGCGCAATTGGTTATCTTATGATTTGCCATCTTAATCGTCTTTTACAAGGAAATTTCAAATTCTGGCCACTTACATTGTCTAGCAATATCGCGACTAAATAATGGAGATTGGGTTCTGGTTTACATATTTATGCATACCGTAGCTTTAGCAGCCACGCTATTAGGTCATTCTTTAATAACATTTTGAATAATTATAGCCTTCTTAGGGGACCAAAGCTCATCACCCTATATAAATAAAACGTTAATTAGGTTAACTATTATCTGTTTTGATATATCATAACATGAGGACAATGATGATGCCATTGTGTAATTTTGTATTTTGTAAATAAGAATTGAGAAAGCCAAGGTAGGCAGATATAAATTGGCTTTCAGGTTTGCAACATTAACTTGTGATTGCACATGCTAGGAATTAGCAGCTGTTATGTGCTGACTATCACTAGCACTTGCCACTAGTCAGATGCAACAATGTATTAAATGTGTAAATAAAATATCTCAAATAGTAAATGAATTTTTCATCAATGTAACTGATAAGCAACTGCACTGTAAATTTATCTGTCTACCTGCTTATTTATTAAGGCTCGTAGGGTCTATGTCCCCCTGACCTCTGTTTGACCTGGCTCGTTTAGCTATTTCTGACTAACCCTAACCCTAACCCTATATATATTATATATATATATATATATATATATATTAGTCAGAAATAGCTAACCCGCACATAGCATATTAGTAGTCACTCCTTCCACCCCGCACTCATAGATGACTAGACGAGATTTTAGTCGTGGTGTCTATATAGAGTAAATATATACTTCCATGGCCCTCATATTGATTCAACATAAACTTGATCATGCTAATACTGAATTGCATTATGCTGATAACCTTGACGAACCCACATATAATGAAAGTGTCAATGACACTGTAGCTCACCCTGGGTGTGATAGAAGAGAGAGGTGGGATATATAAAGCAAGAGTACATATGGGAGAACTCCCATTATATAGCATATCTCCCATTATACTCTTGATAATGATATATGCATAAATTTTGATGTGAAAATAAATGTTTCACATCTGAAAGTCTGAAATCTTGACGAGAGATGGTGCTACGCCTAAATGATCGCCATTTTGGTTTTCGAATATCGCGCAAATAAAAACAATAAAATATTCCAGTCAAATTACTGTAACAAAGAATCTAAAACACAACATTACACGTATATATGTATGATTGTAGAGTTGCTGACCAGTTAGACGAAATAAACGTAATAGGACGTTGTCATCTCTCCCATAGGAGTAACAACTGTTTTGGGGCTAGCCTTCCACATTCACATACCAAAATTTAACAAAATCGAATGAATTTAGATGGCCATTTTCATTTTTGCCAAAAAGTGGGCGTGGCTCGAAAGTAGGTCGACTATAGCGTGCTCCAAAATAGGAAGTTCAAATCTCTCCCATAGGAGTAACAACTGTATTCAATTTGAAACTTGTGGGTCAAACAGTTCTTGAGTTATCGTTGACCGTAGGCAGACACTGTAATGCTTAGTGAAATTGCCAAAATCTACATAATTTGCATAATTTTTAAAAAAACATCAAAACATGTGTGATATGTTTTGGGGGCCAGCTAGTCCTCATTCATTCACATACCAGAAATGAGCAAAACCCATTGAACCTGAACTGACTTGTGGCCATTCCCTTTTTTGCCCAAAAGTGGACGTGGCTCGAATGTATATCAACTGGCGTGCTCCAAAATAGGACGTTCAAACCTCTCCCATAGGAGTAACAACTATATGCAATTTGAAACATGTGGGTCAAACGGTTCTTGAGTTATCGTTGACCGTAGCCAAATGTTGACGGATGGACGTACGACACCCCACGGCAATAGCTCATCTTGACGATGTCAAGGTGAGCTAAAAACAAGCCCTAGTCATGTTCCCAAATCAGCTGTTAGTTCTTAATATATAAACATTATCAAGAGCAGATAAAGAAGGAGAGCGTACAAGAGT